CGGTCCCGGAGGAGCAGCCGGGGCAGCTGCCTCCCCACTGCATGCTGCAGCAGTGCTGCATTCCCAGGATTTCGGCCGGACACCTTGCAGGGCGCAGCAGGCATGGCCATCTGCTTCGCACAGCCCTCCTTAGCCACGAGCATCAGGCACTGAAACCCTCTGCTTTATTCTCCAGGATGAACCCTCTCCTCAACCTCCTGCACCCTCCAGTCAGTCTCACTGTGTTTACAAAGCTGCGTTTTGCAGATGCTCAGGTATATGTGCTCACTGAAGGTTCATCCTGTTCCCATAGCTCACATGCAAGTAAAGACTTCACTAACATTTAACAGGATCCCCTTGCTAGCTGGCTTTTAAAAATGCAACTCACCTCAAACTTGCTCATGAATTCTGCAAAAATGCCGAAGAAAGCTTCCGAAGTTGTCACTTTGGAGTCTTCCCCAAAGAAGGAGAGCACCTTGCTGAAGTCCTCCATGGCCTTGTGCTGCAGGTCGTCCAGAGACCGCATGGCCGGCTGGGCGCTCTCCAGAAAGGACTGGGAAACGGCTTAAGGGCAAAGAGACACTTTGCTGCAAACGCAGACTGAAAGCAGGGTCCAAGGGGACCTGCTGTGCGTGCCTGGTGTCCCTGGGGCACCGTCCATGCAAGGAAGGACAACCCTGGAGCTCTGCGGCCCCGTGCAGAGAGGCCCGTGCACGGCTGGCATCGCGGGCACCGTTCCCCTTGCTGCTTAGCAAAGGGTGGTGTTCATCACCAGGCTGGTTTGCTTTGCAACCAGCCGGACACAGGACTTCTACTTAGGGGTAAACACAACAGGTTCAATATGACTAAAGGATTTAACAGGAATAAATATAACTAAGTGATTTTACGTGAAGGCAGTAAGTCACAGCGGTGCCTTGCCCCTTTGCAGAAGGATACAGTCATGACGATTGCGAATCTGTCCTCCGCGGTGGCGGGCATGTTGCGACAGGCCATCTGTATGTCACTGACGGTGGCGTGAAGGTCGTTAAGGTCTGCTGTTAATGTTCTCTGGTTCACTAGATGAGAGGAGAGGATTGAGGAGAGTCACCGAGACCGACCCTGGCGCGCTGCTGCCTGCTCCTGAGCTGCTCATCGCAGCGTTCGGACCGAGTGCCGCCGCGGGCTCCTAAAGCATCGTGTTGTCTGCACGACAAGGGGAGCTGCAGGGTCTGTCACAAGGTCATACTGTGGCCCTCTGTTGCCTATATGATTAGGCCAAATTAAAAAAAATCAACTGGGAAAACTACAGGTGTAAACAGCAGGAGAAAACCTAAGTCTCCTCGCCTGATTTTTTTGCTTTATTTATCCATTTTAAGCACTGATTCCCCAGGGAATTGTTCATAAGCAGCAGGGGAGAGGGGAGTGCAAGGGAAGTGCAGCCCCACGATCACATCCAGGCGACCTGTGAGTGCTGTGAGTGCAACTGTGACCAGCTTTATAGCTCTGCAAACCCGGCAGGACGGGGGACGGAGCCGCTCCCCGGCCCCGCACGCTCTACAGATCCTCCTTGTTCATTTACCTTTGGCAGCGAGCGGCACTGTAGGAAGGTCCTTGGCAAATCCCAGAAGCTCTGGGAAGTGTTGGCTAAGTGATTTGGCAAGAATGTGCAGGAAGGTGGATTTCCCATCGACAGTCTTGGTTGTGTTGAGCTACAGCAAAGCAAACAAGTAAGAAGATTCCTACGCGGAAGAGGGTGGGTTTTGCCAAGCATTCGGTTCACCTGTGGTTACCAGAACACACAGACACTCCTCTGTTCAGCCTGGCTCATCCTGCATTGACATGCTTGGCAATTCCCGGTCACACCAGCTGGATTAATGTTTAAGTAAGATGTTTCATGTTTACACATCGTGCTACACCCAGATTAGCGCGTTCCTCCTCCCCAGGCCGAGGAACCGTAACCGTTCCC